TATAAGTTAATTTAAATTTGACTTGAAATTTGATTTGAACTTAACTCAACTCAAATAAATTCAAGTTAAAATTGAGTTGAGTTTAAAATTTATATAACTCGAATTAAGTCAAGTTAAAAGATTTTATAAAATAAATTTGATTCGACTCAACTCGAAAAAAACGAGTTGAATAGAGTTGATCTTTAACTCAGCTTGACTTGACTCATTCAGAACTCTATTATTAGCATTCACACTTGTAAAGAAACTAAATCAGATAATCTTAAGTATTTTGTTTATAAGATCTTGCTTAACAGAAGCACTAATAAAAAAAAAGAAAATTAATGCCATTAAACATCTCATAAACACAGTTAGTTTTTTTCTTATTTGATTTATTGGAAAGGAAAGTTTTAGCAGCACAGCAAATATAGAATGAAGAAGCATCACAAATAAGTTTGAAAGAGAGAACATTAGATAAAGAACCACTTTTTTCAAGTAAATTTTCAAAGATATTATATGCTTAATCTTCATTCATTTTGTTAGTATCTTTAAAGGTAACAGGAACTGAAATATTTACAATTAAAATTTTAAGTAAGAATCAACTTTTATGTTTCCTTGAAAGCTAGAAGCAACATTTGAGTTGTCAATATTATAATTTTCAATAAAATCAGGATGGTTGAGAATAGTTACAGTTTTCTTTTGAAGTAGTTTTAAAGACTTTTTATCAATAGACGAATCAAAATGACTATGAGTGTTACATTAAACTTTTGGATTATTATTAAATTTTTCTTTTAGTCTTTTCCTATAGTATTTTAAGTGAAGTGGAAAAGAGTTATTTTTTAAGAATAATCTGATATAAATTTAGTGAGATGTTTAATAGCATAAATTTTCCTTCATTCATTGATACTTTTGTCAAGCAAGATTCTGCAAACAAAATGCTTAAGATTGTTCAATTTGGATTCTTCATAAATATGAACGTTAATAAAGCATTTCATGCTAAGTTTTCAGAAATGGCTAATCTAAAATTAAAATCTCTTAAGCATCTTACCTTATTTAGGTTTAACCTTGATTTAATAATCAAGGTAATAGAGATCTTTATATCAACTTCTGAGTACTGTTAACGTGTAATTCTCACGAATTACGACTATTAAACGGGGTGTTTGAGTGGTTTATTCTTTTTAATTGCACAGTAATCTTTCAACGGTTTATCCGTTTTAACTCAGACTATTTATCAAAGGCGTTTATATTATCACAACGTATGGTGGTTCAACAGAATGCCAGTAGTTATATTTGTAAAATAATATGTTTATTCACAAGTAAGATAATAGAATAAAAGAGATAAGAAAATATAATACGAAAATATAATGAGAAAAGAAAAGAAATACTAAAACTAAAAGTAACGTAATAGGCCAATTGCCTCGAAGACTACTAAAACTAACTTGGCGAGTTTTTAACTGTCTCCCTTCTTTTACATGAACTAGAAAGCTACTTATTTATATAAAATAAAATACATAGAAAAATATAACAAATATGTCTAATATATCAACTATATCTAATATATCAACTATATAAACTATGTCAAATATGTCGAATATGTTAAATATGTCTGACATATCATATATGTTAAATTAGTCGATCTTCTGCGTCACATAAGCTGCGTAATGTTTACCCGTTCACATTACTCCTCGCTTAAGATTTCTGCTCCTGCAGAAATATCAAGAGTTTCCAACACGAGAGCTTGGTATTCACTAGACCTTAATCGACGAATCATAGTTAATGTCAGACATCGAGTATCGAAGATTCGTTAAACTCCTATGTTTTCAAAGAGGTGATACACTCAAATAGCAGTCCGATAATAATGTTTAGTTATCGTGGCCGTTTGTAACATTCGTTAGGTTAGCGAAATGGTCACATCATCAATAAGTTGACCTAAATAAAATGCATTAACAAAAGATAAAATACGATTCCTCATACGAATAGAACAAAGTAGGATCTGGTAAGTAGATTGCACTTTTTGAGCTAAGGATGCGTCAGTTCAATATGGTGGTTCCATTGGTTGAATTTCTTCGAGAGCAGTTGTAGAGACTTGAAGTTCTTTTAAAACTTCTTCAAAATTCGTAAGTTCCATTATAATTTTATTCGTTAACAATAACGACATAGGTCCTTTTTTATATTATTTGAATGCCGATCACTATTCAATAATGATCTGAGGTTCCCATTCAGTTCGTTCCAGATATGGCTTCAAAAGATCTGCATATATGGGGTTCTTTCTAACTCGTCCATCTAAAGTACGAAGTTTATAAGTTCCAGGTCTCACAATGTCATGAATATAGAAAGGTCCATCGAACTTATCCTTAAATTTATCTCCGTAAATATGCGACTGTGTGACATTAAATAATAAAACTTTATCTCCAATTTGATAAGAAATTCCAGGTCGATCCTTATTGTAACGTTCTTGTTGTTTTTGTTGTCATTGCATAATATTTTGTTGTGCATCTAATCGTCGTTGTTGCAACTGTGATGAGATTATCTGCTAATGCTTTTTCATAGCATTTGATAAGTTTGTGATAGATAACGGTCATCGTAATTGTAAATCTATCAGTAAAACTGCTTTTCGTTCATATAACAACTCAAATGGTTCGAATTTTGTCGTTCCCTGCTATACAGTTCGATATGCGAATAATGCTGAGGTTAAATAAGTATCCTATTCTCTTTGATGTTGTTCAGCATATTTGGCTAAAATTGTACATAAAGTTCTATTAAAGCGTTCAGTAAGGCCATTGGTCTGGGGGTGGTATGGTGAAGATAATCTATGTTTAGTCCCTACTACATATAACAAAGCAGTGACTAACTCATTTTGAAATGACGTAGCTCAGTCGGTTAATATCTCTTTTGGCATTCCGTGTTGACATATAATTTTATTATAAATGAATTGTGCAGTCATCTGGGCAGTACAATCTGGTGTTGCACTGGCTTCAATCCATTTTGTCAAATATTCAGTTGCTACAATAATATACCTATTTCCTTTTGTTGTACGTGGGAGTGGTCCTATATAGTCTATTCCGATGCGATCGAATGGTTGTCCAACAGGTATAGGATGCAATAGTTCTTTGGGTTTTGGTCTTCCTTGTCGTTGACATACATCACATGTTCGTATCTAATTATCAATTGTTTTATACATGCTAGGCCAATAATATTGAGAGGTAATTTTATTGTAAGTGATGTCACAGGCTAAATGTCATCCTAGCAGCTCATTATGAATATTGTAGAGAATGCTTTCGACTTCAGTGGTTTTGATCACAAGTAATGGTTGAGCCAGTTGCTTTTGATTACGTTTATAAAGTTGTTAGTTTTATACGAAATAATGTTGGGCTTGTTTTTGAATATTATGTTGTTGTGAAGGGGTAAGATTTGAGGGGTATGTAAGTTGAATTAGATATTGGTACAGTTGATGGTAGGTTTCAGGTTCCATGTTGTAGAGCTATTAGTCACACTGCTAACACTTTCGCTTTCACTCTCAAATTTATTTAGAATAGTTGTGGATTATTGTGGGAGAAGTCGAGACAGTGCGTTAGCGTTTGAATGTAATTTTCCTTTTTTGTATTGAATTTGATATGAAAATTCCATAATACGGATAATCCATCTCATAAACTTTCGAGGGGGTCAGGTTTATTAAAGAGCCATTGTAAGGCTGCATGGTCAGTAATTAATTCAAATTGTTGATGTAGTAAGTAGGGTCAAAAGTGTTCCATTTTCCACATGGCGGCAAGACATTCCAATTCAGTTGGAGCATAGTTTTTTTTCAGCATGACTTATACTTCGATTGGCATAAGCTATGACGCATTCTTTACCATTATCATCCAGTTATGCTAATACTGCGCCAAGGCCTATATACGAATCATCAGTAAAGAGTAAGAACTTACGTTTGAAGTCAGGATAAATCAAAACTAGTACAGTTATCAGGCACGTCTTCAGATGCTCAAAGGCCTTCTGTTGTGGTTCCGTTCACACATAAGGAGTATCTTTCTGTAGTAATAAATGTAATAGCGCGACTGATATTAAAAAATTCTGAATAAATCTTCTATAATACGATGCTAGTCCCAAAAATCCTCGCAACTCAGTGATATTTGTGAGGATTGGGAAATTCTTAACTTTATCTATTTTAGAAGGATCAGGTGCGATTTCTTGTTCACTTACGATATGCCTTAAAAATGCTAATTCTAACTTAGCAAACTCACATTTATCTTTCCCAAGTTTGAGTCCAGCGTCCTTTAATCATTTAAAAATGAGTTGTAAATGTCGCAAGTGTGCATCAAAGGTATCTGAAAAGATAATAATATAGTTGAGATATATAGCTATGAACTGTCCAATTTTTTCTCTAAAGATCTTATTCATTAGACGTTGAAAAGTTGCAGGGGCATTTGTTAATCCAAATGGCATTACTTTGAATTCATAAAGTCCTTGACTAGTTATAAAAGCTGTTTTAGCCTGGTCATTTGGATCCATAGTGACCTGCCAATATCTACTAGCCAAATCTAATGTTGAAAAATATTTAGCTTTCTCAAACATATCTAGTAACTCATCAATTCGTAGTAAAAGGTGTCCATCTCATTGAGTAACACTATTAAGCTTCCTATAGTCGACACAAAATCGAAGTTTTCCATTTTTCTTTCGAACAAGAACAATAGAGGAAGCCCAAGGACTTTTAGAGGGCTGTATTAAACTGTATTTCAACATCCTACTAACTTCCTCCTTGATAAATTCTTGCTCTAAGAAAGCTACCCTGTATGCACGTTGTCGTATAGGTATTGGATTTTCTACTGATATATGATGCGTCTCAATTATTGTATATTCTAATTGTAATAAATCTTCAGCGAACGCATCATTATTTTCATGTAGAAACCGAGTAATTTGTTGCTGTTGAGGTCCCGTAAGATGATTATAAGTGATTGCGTAAGATGGTGGCTCATCTGGAATATTTCTTAGCAGTTGCCAGTGGTCCCATTCTTTTTTATATAACTGACATCGGTCGTCCATTCCATTTAGTTTGTTATGGCACTAACATCGATTTCCCAGTCCTTGCCAATAATATTTCCACTTTGCATTTTTGGGTGGTTGAACATCAAATTTCTGATTCAAACTTTTAAAATATTGGGGAGAATATTTTTGTTCATCTACCAAAGTTTGTTTCAGGTTACTTTCAGCTAAGGGAATAGAGTCATTGTGATCCCCTAATATCATATAATGTCGTTGGGCTATTAACTCCTCATTTTCATATTCTTCACCTGACGAGTTTTTGACAATATCAACAGGTTGCTGAAAATGATTGAACTGGGGTTTCTCCCAACAGGGCATAGGTATCTGATATTCTTTATTATTCCAGCTAAATGTAAATTTCTGACAATCCCAATAAAGTCGTCCTCGACATTTAGTAAGCCAATCATTTCCTGCCACTATATAGTAGTCGGTTGATTCAGTGATATTGACATTGATAGGAATCTCTACGTCATTGATTTGTAAAGGAATATTAGTGACTTGCCCTAAGGGTCGTGATCGTCCTCCTTGTATGTTGATCATTGTAATAGTAGAAGCGGATTCGATTTTCATCCTAACTGTTGTAAAAAGGATTTAGACATTACACTCCCAGCCGATCCTGAGTCTAAAATTAAATATATTGGTTTATTGTCTACAGTAGCATTACAATAAACTGCTTCTATAGCTTTTGGTAATTCTGAGGGATTTATATTTTCATGGGTACGCTCACCCTCCTGAGGTACCGTCAATAGTTTAAAGACTGAGACGAAAAGGCAAACGTATTCCGAGTGTTCACTGGTGGTGGGTTTGGAAGAGGGAATACCATAGAGGTTTGTGATAGTGGAGTAAAGCCTGTGCTATACATTGGTGTAGTTTGTGATAATGTAGCACGTTGCCCTGTATTAAAGCCAGTTGGTGTATTAACATTTCCTCCAGTATTTCCAACAGGATTATTTATGTTTTTAGTTGGACAGACATATTCCCAATGTCTAAATTGCCCACAATGCGGACAAGGCCCCCTTGGTGAAGTATCATAATTCCTAGAAATATGTTCCTTTTAGTGATAACTATGATAAGTTATTCCTGCGTTAGGTCTATTAGTCGAATTATATCGATTATTTCCATTATTATTCTGACTTCCAGGGTTATTTCTTTGCCTACAATCCCTAGAAATATGGCCAGGTCGCTCACAGTTATAACAACTTTGATTGTTGCGATTATTGTTACTGTTATTATTATTACTGTTATTCCTCCAGTTGTTATTGGTATTTACGGGATGTGAACTAAAGTTTTGAGTGCGTGGCGTAGTATTCGAAGTAGTTAACAATTGTTTAAATTCCTTTATTAGTTTGTCGTTATTCTGGTCGATAAGTTGTTGAATGTCAGGAGTGGTTGGATTCTCGACCGTGTTATCATCCTTTTGACTTAGATATGCCTTGCTCAGAGAATAACCAAAAAGAGTACTATCCTTAGATAATACTGCTTCGATAGCTTGTGTTCGCTCAATCGCTTCTTCTAAGTCACGTAGTGTGGCAGCGGCAATAGCAGTATGAAATTCTGGACGAAGTCCTTGTAAGAATTGCTTAATTTTTTCATCCTCTGGAGTATTATAATCAGGATCCAATTTAAGGTATAATGATTCAACATTGGCGGCATAATCTTCAACTGACTGCCCAGGACGTTGTTTACATTACCTAAGTGCTGAACGCTATTGTGTTCTTCGATGAGTTGTACAGTAATGTTTTAAGAAGTGGTAGACGAAAAATCGATGCCTATGTTGTCGATCGGTTGAATTATCCCAATATCACAAATCCTTTTCATTCTTAGTTTTATTATACCAAGTAAGAGCCGATCCTTTCAAAAATGATGAAACTAAGGTAAGACGTCGTCTGTCAGAAATCCCATTTGCATTTCTGGCATTGTTATACTGCTCTAACCAATCGCGAGGATCCTGATCTCCTCCTTTAAAAGTTGGTAAGTCTACAAATTTTGCTTCTCGTTGTCCTCCAAATCTAACATTTTTAAAAACAGTTTGTAAGCCTTTCATCATTCGAAAGAAGTTTCGCTCGTCAGCGCTCTGAGCGTTATCAGTATTAAATGAGTCATCCTTTTCATCTTCTGAATCACTA